TACGTCTCCTGCAGTAGTGCACACATCGACAAACCTTTCCTCTGCGAAGCGTACACATGAAGCTTCTATGTATGGTTAGACCAAAAGATTAACTAGAAACTTGCGGGACGAAGAACTCTCCTAGAGATATGAAAAAATGTCGAAACGCTAAAACGGCGTTGTGTCAGAAAAAAGTATAAGAAATACTGAGTCTGTTTAGAACCATGAAGAAGTGCCTCAGAACTGAGATTAAGTTCTCTATAGATAAAATTCAAGGACAGTTTATGGTCCTGCATGTGGTGGCGATGACTTAAGAAACATGGGATGCAACATCAAGAAAGATTGAAGGCACAGATTTCTCCTTCACAGCCAAGAGAGAGCTTCGGAAAGATTCTCTATTTTAAATGCCACGACCTCTTGTGAAGGCAGGGAATTTCGAAGGCTGGCTATTGGAAAGAAATCACTGCAATACCAAGTTAGGCTGTTCCAGACTGTTCAAGGTCCTGCAGTGTGACAAAATATGCATAATTAAAAATGAGGTGCAAGGGCCATGTAAATAGGGTAGAATAGATTTCCGACGTACTAAACCCTATACAAGCACATGAATATTAAAGTCACAGAATATTTTCCTTTTCCATAAATAAATTCTACTTCCATATAGTTTTCATGAGGATGATTATGATGAATAAAAAATCACGACTGTGCCATTATAATAAGAATAATGGGACAGACTCTTCCACAGCAACGAGGCCAAGCCACAATGGGAATCATCATACAGACATTACTAGACGTGCCAAAGCCGAGCCAAGATTAGCACCACTCTGCTGCATGTGAGACCTAACCAGATGGATTCCAAGGTAAGTTTCCAAAAGGCTTTAGGAATTTACTTTTCATTATGCGAAAAGTGACACAAGGTGACCAACCGGAGGAGTTAGAGAGCGCCGTGTGGGTTGTAACTTATAATAGGCGCTTCTTGAATGTAATAGTATGTAAATTGTTTTTTTTTTTTTTTTTTTTTTTTTTTCTTTTGATGTCTACCGGCCAGTCTAGAGTGAGAGTGAAATTGAGCCGGATAGATGGAGAGATGTATTAGGATGGACTAAAGTGCAAGATGGATATAGACAAAATGTAGGTAATCTAGTGAGAGAGACGAGAGAGAGAGAGAGAGAGAGAGAAGAGAGAGAGAGAACGTTTAGTTTGACAAGTTTAGATTAGAATTTTTAAGGAAACATAGCTATCATCATCTCATCCTACTGAGAGTTCCAACTTACAGATATATTAGCAAAGGACTTCAGTCAGAGAGAGATAAGTACATTAGTTTTAAAGTTTAGTTTGGAACTCTGAAAATCGGAAATCGGGCCACTACCCTGTAACACATCCCCCCCCGCCCCCCCCCCCCCCCCCCCGAACGCATTCTTAGACGCTTT